AAATTTCCAATTAAGACAAATGGTGTATTTTCCCCAAAAATAGAAAACGGAATCCCGCAAGGATCTGTTTTAAGTCCCACTCTTTTTATAATGGCCATTATTAATGTTCTTGAAGGCTTAAAATTTTCACAGAAACACTCTTTGCTATCAGGCAGTACTTTCTACACAATTTAGAGAACTGGTCCCAAAAACAGGATTTCAGTTTTCTTAGGAATGACCTTTTACCAAAGAACACATTAAACAATTGGTTATTGACTGCCATTCTAGGCTTAATATTTTAAAATCACTAGCTAACCGAAAATTAAGGTCAGATAGACAGAGTATGCTTTCACTTTATAGAACAATAATTAGATCAAAGCTAGACTATCTACCAATAAATCTCTTAAAATTCCTGGATATAATCCACAACACTACACTTCGCCTTATATTGGGTGCCTTTAGATCAACTTCAGTAGAAAGCTTGTATTGTGAAGCTGGTGAACCATCTCTTATTGATAGACGAATTTATTTGAGATTGATATATGCAGTTCAGATCCTTACAATGACACCTATTAGAATATTAAGGTTATTTAATAACAAACCACGCATGGCAAAACCTTTTTACCATAAAGTTACCATGGATCTTAACTTAATATATCCTTTCCTACACTTTTGAATCTTCACCAACCCAAAAATTATTAATTTCTCAATAAATTCCACGGTAACCTATATATTTTATTGTAAAAAACAAAACCAAAATATTTCAAAAACCTTATTTTTTAGTTTTTTTTTACTCTGTCTAATCAATAAATAATAGTATACTTAATTATAATTCGAAAATTGTTGTTAAAGTCTTACTTTCTCGTAAGACACTATACAAATACTCACATTTTAAAAAAAAAATTCTCAAAAATTTGCACGGTAAGGTATAGTTAAAAGTTCACTATTATAAATAAGGACTTCAACTATTAAAAAAAAATTAATTTTAGTCATAATCTAATATTTTTTATTTAACATTGGTGGCGAAAGGACCTCCTTAACTAATATTTTTACATTTCTAATATGAATTGTTTGATCTGCTAATTTATGTTTTGTAGGTCTAAACAAGAAGAAACATATGCTTGTGTCTGCTGCAGTACCTAGTTTAACTTTGCCTAAGCTAAAAGCTGAGTCATGCCATTAATAAGAAGAAAAGGAATCCAGCAAAAACAAGAGTTATGGCCACAACGCACATAGAGGTTCCACGTGAATGACCAAGGTCAAAACCGACAACTGACATTTTTTATGCTATTTGCTCCAAACTTTAGATGGGGCTACGGGAGAAATTATGATTTCTTACTCCATTTTTAAGCTTTATGGGAGAAAAACTTAACCAAAGAATCCAAATATATGACGTGTAATTATTTATGTTTTTGGGTAGTCTCATTTTTCCGTCTGATTTTAGTGATTTTTTGTTGGCTTTGGCTTTTGGTTTTGATTTCTGTTTATAGTTTCGTCTTAGTTATTTGCAAAATTGTGATGTTTTGCTTTTCTGTTTCCTACTGTGTTTTGCAATAATTTTGGTGCTACGTTGAAAACTTCGAGAAAAACTTCATTGATTCATCATGCATCATAAAAAGACAAACGGGTATAACAACTAATTGATAATCAATTTATCACTGGACTGGATTCCGAAATCATTTTTCACATAAGAGAGTAATACCACCATCTGTATTTGGAAAGAAAATACCTATTTATCATTGAATGAATAGTTAAAAGGATTCACCTTTTAATACAATACCTATATTACATTTGTCCTCGGTTAAAAAGACATTTATAAAATATATTACTTTAATGTTAATAAAATGTAATATCCTAGTCTCTACTTCACATTTAAATTATGGATAGGTATTTTAAAGATTTGCTCCAAGTAAGTATTCCTTATAAATATATGTATTATTATTTGTATTTATTTTTATCTAATAATATTTATTCAAGCTATTAATAAACATATTAAGAATGTTCTATTTTATTATTTATTGATATATCTTATATTTATTTAATAATAATATGCAAAACCAACTCTCCACATCAGACCCCTTATAACAAATTAATTCATCAAATTAGGTATAATCGACCTAAATTATTTTGTAAAATAAAAGTCTTGAACTTACTAGTTCCATACTTTATTTTATAAAATAATTTATGTGGAAATCATTTAAAATTTAATTTAAAACTACTACCTACTCCTAAAAATTACAATTTGAATTTACCGCCCTCTATCAATTGTCATTTTAGTTCCTGCTCCAAACTCAAGGTGGCGCTAATTTCGTTTAAAAGTTTAACATTGGCGTGGGGTCTCTAGAAGATACGTGCTTTGTGGTTATGGCTATGAAGACTAGAGATAAGGAGGCAAATCGGCATACTCAAAATATGGTCCCAAAAACGCATGCTAATTGAGCTTCTATAATTAACCGCTTGGGCGCTGGTACTGCATACGCTGTTCAAAATACATGGCTTCTTATGGGAATTATACATAATTGTCAAAATAATAAAAATAAACTTGTTTATAGCTAAATAAAGCACATAACATACTGTTGTATTTATTTCTAAATAAGTCTGTTTAAATTGATAAATTATTTAATTTTATCTATATAAAATAAAAATTAGGTATGTATGACCAAATTCGAAAAGGTATCTTAAATACTGAAATTTGATAAGTACAATTTTGTATATATAGTTTTAAGAGTAAAATAAAACACAGTTAACAGATTTTTTATTGTTTTAATACAAGTATAAAGGAAGTATTGGGAATGTACATGGTATGGTATTACCTCATCCTTTAATTTCAGCTTTCTCCTTTTTATTTTGCTAATAATACCATCAGTAAAAATAGTCTCATAATATTTGATAATATCTTCTTAAAAGTATAGAACAGCATCATCTCTAAAAAGTGCTTTATCGGCACTAGGAACGATATATAATAATATATATATTGCCACTGTTCTTATTGTTTAGTATCCTATAAAAAACATTTAAAGTGACACAATTGGGGTCCAAAAAAATAACAGTTGCAACTCTTTATCTAACATTAAAAATCTATAAAAAATAAATTTGCTTCTCTAGTAAGTTAAATTTAATGCATAATTATTGTAAGTCAGCATCTATGACTGTAAAATTTTATATTATAGACTACACTTCGTAAGATACATATTGTGACTAGTTTACAATAAATATTATATTTAGACATGAATACATTATTTTACTTACATTAGAAGCTTTAAAAAGACATTGAATTAATTTTTTCTTGTGTTTTCCTTAGTTTTATATTTGAATTTTATCCTGTTATATAATCTGGAACGACGTAAATCTTGCTTTGATGTTTTTTGTCACTCAGGTTACTTGTACTCAGGTACTTTTTTTCAAATTATTTTGATTCTTTTCACCAATTTTTAATTAAAAAAATCATTTTATTTTACATTGACTTACATAGAAAATTGACACCGCTGTCATTCGACATACCAACTACAGTCAATTTCGCGAACTGTATAAAAAGAAGGACGGAAATTTGGCCTCCTTCTCTCTAGTCTTTATAGTTATAGCTACTGTCAAAAATAATGATGTTTCCAATGCTAGTAAAATGTCAACTGCTGGTCAAGTGTTGAGTTGTCTTCTTCAGGCAGGATGTACGTATGCATAATTTAAAATTTTTGGTTAATTATTATATGTTTAATGAACATTTATCTACTACTAAAGCAGATAATGAAGATATATATGTGTGCGCTGCTGAAGAGCTTTGCATAATTTACAAAATATTCAAATAATTAAAAAAAAAACTTAAAACAGAACACAAGTATAATTAAAACTCAATAAAATAAACAATTCAACAAAATGTTCGACTAAGCAATAACAATGACAACAAAATCTCAACTAGACCAAACTTTCTTCTAAACCGGTTCTGTATTAGGTTTGTTTACCAGTGAACACTCGCAATTGAGACTAAACACAAACATTGCACGTACTAGAGAAAGAGCAAACATCTCCCATTTCGACCCGCTGTTCATCGTTTTATTTACGTATGGATGATCAGTCTATATAAATTATATATGTCATTGATAGAGATATGAGAAGTGCTGTTCTATGACATTAAAAACTTTATAAAAGTAAAAGTGTATAGTGCGTGGCAAACCCGATGGCAAACCTCAACGAATAAGTTGCGTGTAGTGAAACTGCTTGTGAAACCGTGGCTAAAGTTACCTCCTGATCTAAAAACCGAAGTTACTATAACGCGTCTAAGACTCGGTCATACGCTACTAGAGAGTTGAAGTGTTTCCAGTACGTTAACGTAAACGTGAACGTGAATGCAGAAAAATAATATTTACGTTGCAGTACAAAATATGAGTTGAAGTTGTTAAACGCATCGTGACATTTACGTGTTATGACAAATAATGACAATTTATATTGGGATTTCTTCTTTTCCATTTAAATAGAGGTTATTTTTGTTTGCGTTACGTGTATACGCCAGAGCCCGTAAGTTTACGTATGTACGTAGACGTATACGTGAAGGATATTTTAGTACGCATGCGCAGATGTCAAATTTCACGTATACGTTTACGTTCATAACATCACTTCAACTCTCTAATGACACATGGTCATCTGATCAGTAAGACTCCAGAAGCAATTTGTGAATTTTGTAATGTGAATCTAAAGGTAAAACACTTTAGGATTGAATGTCCCCAATTTATTCAAGAAAGAAATACCCACAATATTTCGAAGACTCTAGATCAGCCATACTCAACCTGCGGCCCTCCAAGCCGTTTTGTGCGGTCCTCCCAACTTTTTTTTGCGGTCCTCCAAGCTTTTTGTGCAGCCCCAAACACAATATTATTAGTAATTGGTTGACCTACAGTCCTGTAACTTTTCAAAACTTTTCAAAGCTTATTAAAACAATTAAAACAACAGAGCACCTTTTTTTTAGAAATACTGTAAGAAAGGATGTAAGAAAGACTGTAAGAAAGGATGTAAGAAAGGATGTAAGAAAGGATCTAAGAAAGGATGTAAGAAAGGATGTAAGAAAGGATGTAAGAAAGGATGTAAGAAAGGATGTAAGAAAGGATGTAAGAAAGGATGTAAGAAAGGATGTAAGAAAGGATGTAAAAAAGAATGTAAGAAAGGATGTAAGAAAGGATGTAAGAAAGGATGTAAGAAAGGATGTAAGAAAGGATGTAAGAAAGGATGTAAGAAAGGATGTAAGAAAGGATGTAAGAAAGGATGTAAGAAAGGATGTAAGAAAGGATGTAAGAAAGGATGTAAGAAAGGATGTAAGAAAGGATGTAAGAAACTATGTAAGAAAGGATGTAAGAAAGGATGTAAGAAAGAATGTAAGAAAGGATGTAAGAAAGAATGTAAGAAAGGATGTAAGAAAGGATGTAAGAAAGGATGTAAGAAAGGATGTAAGAAAGGATGTAAGAAAGGATGTAAGAAAGGATATAAGAAAGGATGTAAGAAAGGATGTAAGAAAGGATGTAAGAAAGGATGTAAGAAAGGACGTAAGAAAGGATGTAAGAAAGGATGTAAGAAAGGATGTAAGAAAGAATGTAAGAAAGGATGTAAGAAAGGATGTAAGATGTAAGAAAGAGTGTAAGAAAGGATGTAAGAAAGGATGTAAGAAAGGATGTAAGAAAGGATGTAAGAAAGGATGTAAGAAAGGATGCAAGAAAGGATGTAAGAAAGGATGTAAGAAAGGATACAAGAAAGGATGTAAGAAAGGATGTAAGAAAGGATGTAAGAAAGGATGTTAGAAAGGATGTAAACTAAAATAAGATAAGAAACTTTTTTTTAGAAAATATTTATAGCGGATAGGGATCCGCTAGGGAGCGTCACCCATTGTCTTCTATTTGCATTTCAAAATTTTAAAGAGGTGGCAACTCTAGTTATCACCCAAACATTTTGTGGCTGGTGTAGCATAACAAACAGATTTATGTGGCCCGATAGAAAAAAAGGTAGAGTATAGCTGCTCTAAATCAAGCTCTTTGTTTGAATTGTTCGTTTAAAAATATGATTTCATACTTAAAAGCAACTTACATTCTAAATATGTAATATGCTGTATATACTGCTTCTCGCTAATAACATTTGAGGTTGATTCGATATGTTTAATAAAAAAACAACTCAAGCCATTCCTCTAGTTCTTTTATTGCATTTTGTTTTCGTTGAAGTAGATCTTCTCTACTTACTCTATTACTATTTTGTTTTATATTTTGTTGTGTTTTTAGTTGTTTGTTTTGTTGTATTAGTAAATTTAATTTTTATTTCGCAATTAGTTTCATTAAACCAGTAAACTTAAACTAAAGAGGATAATTTTTGTGTTAATTACTACAGCTAAGCTTTCGAAAAATTACTGACGTATCAAAGCCGACTAGATTATTATATACAGAATTTTATTTAATTATATCTGGGTGAACTATTCACCCTTATACATTTTTGCTTATATTCCGTTAAAAAAAGATAATAAGACCCGGTTTTAACTGTTTCTTATCAGAATTGAATTACCTTTATAAATAACGTATAAAAATTATAATATTCCATTTAAAATTTTCAAGAAAACTTCGAAAATATGGTTACTGTTTAAACAACGCACTATATTAAAATATTTTAAAAAACTATCAATTTTCTTTTAAACTATACTAAGTTTTTTAAAATCTGATAAACCACATCGTAGTTATAATAGTTTTATTGTTATCATTCTATCATTGGACATTTAAAGGGGAAAGGTAATATTTTGCATTACCATATCGAATTACGCCATCTAACGGTTAAAAAAGAAAGTTAAAAATAATTTTGCTCTTGACCTCCTTTGTTATAATTTTTTTTCTTAAAGTCGTAGGATAAATAGTTTGAGATACAGCCACTAAGAGTTCTTAACCAGACACATATAAAATTTTATGCGTAGTGTGAAAAATGAATTATTTGATTATAAAATTGACATTTTTGTAGCATCAGTAGTGTAAACTTTTTTCTGTAAAAATTAGCTTAAGGAGATTTATTTTAATTAATAATTTAATGAGCGATTTAAATTAGGAAAATGTTTAAATATCTATAGTTCAAAGTTCGAGAAAATTAAAACAAATTAGAAAAACGTATGCTTTCAAGGTGAAATTAGTGTGGAAAACAACAAAATCTTACCTAACTTGTAGTGACTTAAAATTCTATACTTCCTTGAGAACATAGAATTGGAAAGAAGACCACATGGAGGAAGGATAATTAAGAGTTGCCGTTTCTTTGAAGAAATATGGCAACAGGTTTGCTTGCAGCGCCACCGGTAAGGGATTCGTCCAACTATTTCTCAGTCGGTAATATAGATACCTGCAAATTTTATTTTATTTAAAAATTAGCGGGATTTTGTTTGTAGCTCTACTTTAATCAGTATAACTAAAATTTTGCATTTTTATTGGCATTTTTTACAACACAGACAAGGTGCAAGATGTAACAAAATGCCAATCAAAATGTAAAATTTTATGACCCATAATTTTAGGAAGGGTAAAATATTGTAATATAAAATAATTGTATTATCTATTATATCATTAAAACTAATTTATAATAAATTTTCTAAATAAACAATATTTTAATAAAACAACTAAAACTTTCTGTAAACCTTGGTAGGTAACAAAACACATTAAGGAGAACCATCCATATAATCTGAAACAGAAAAAATTCAAAGTAGTATTTTAACTTCATATCATTTTGAATCTCTTTTTTTCTTTTAGACATTGTCACAGTTTTATACTTTCATTATAATATTTTATAATTAATAATGGTAGTCCCTTCATCTTTTAATTAGATGTAGTACTTTTAAAAAAACAGATGTCTGCGGGATCAAGCTTTGAGGTCCTTCTTTGATTCGCAAATTTTACTTTGCTGTTTTCTAATTATAAAATAGAGTTTTTTCTCCCTTGGAGCTAACCATTCACTGAATTGATTTAAAAATCCAAGAGCTAATTATTGTTTTTTAGGTAATAATTATATTTCATTGGATGAAATTTTAATCGAATGTAACTTTCTTTTCACTGGTAATTTATTTGACGGCATGATAACAATATTACTTTACTATTACTCTTTACTGTTAATTAAGCTTTCAAGGGTACCAAAGGTAAAGCCAATTTACAGTCTTGTAACCTATAAATGGTTTTTCGCAAGTGGAATGATGAAGTTTATGCGGCATCATTTTGCTTAATATCGAAAGGAAATAAAAAAAATGTGTTCTTAAAATGTACAGCATAAATTGGACAGTAAATTGTACTATTTACCTTTATACAAACAACGCTATTACAATTAGATATTATGAATTTATTACGAACAGGACCTGCTAAACACATGTTAAAACATCAAAATATCTTTGCTTAATTTTAAATTTAACATGTTTAACTAAAACTAAAATTAAATAAAAGTAAAAGTACTTACCACGTTTTATTCAGCAACCATAACCATATTGTTTTGTTCAGTTTTGTTATTGTATTGGTTCGAACGGGTGACAATCCCAAAGTCAGATTTACATTGTACAAATAATTGATTAATTCATGTTTTTCAAATAATTGTAGTATTTATATAAATATATAATTTTAAAACAATATTTACCGTGTATTACTTTTGTTATTAAGCGAAATATATTTGAATTATTCAATTATTCAGTGTACTTTAAATTTAAATATCATTTTATTATTGTAAAAAGGACTGATATGCGCGGATGTGTTGCGCACTAACCTGTTGATATAACGCGCATATGTTATAAGCCCCCCTGGAAGACCATTTCCTGGATGTATTAGCGACAGAAGGGGACACAATAGATCTTAAAGGTCGCAGTGCATTAATTCCCCATACCTAACATAATATAACATACATGTATGAATTTTGATTACAAATATATGACGACTAATTTCTATTGAGCAACCCGCGTTTCACGTATCGCAACAGTCGCGCGTCACAAATATTTGGGACGTAGGCTAGGCAAGGTGTTGTTTAGGCAGAAGTAAACGAAAAAAAGATTCAAATTTATTCTTGTAATATCTATTGTTTATATTGAAATTGAAACCCTTCAATAGTTATTAGAAAGAATATTTTGTTGCTATAATAATTTTTAATTTGTTCCTGTTTATGTTAACATTACACACGTATACAAAGTTCGCAGTTTTTTATTGACGCAGCTAGTTTTAAACCAAAAAATTCGAGCTGTGGCCAGTCTCAGTACTGGCACTTGTGATGAGGATGTAGCTAGCAGTATCATCCCCATTCAATACATCTAACAAACAAAAATATAATAAACATGTTTAAAAAGTAGATTCAATATTTTTTGATTGGGTACATTCTGTATAGTTAATACGAGTCCACAATGCCAATATCTCTATGCCCTACGGCACTGTTTCGTATGAAATGAATTATAGGAATTTTTCCAACCCTCAACTTCACATGCACATATCTCCAATCTCATATCACTGAACACTATGGGAACACGAACACAATTAAGGGCGAAATTTCGGGAGCAAGTGCATATACCTATGTACAGGGTAGTCCAGCATTACGATTTAATAAATTATCTAATAAAATATTTTTAAATTGGATCTTTGTCTTTTATAGTTCCAGTGACTTCTTGTACGAGAATTTGTTTACAGAAACCAAATAGAAATTTTAAAATATAGCGTATATACTATGGGAATGAAGTGGGTAACCTTTTTTTGCATATGCACACATAATGGCTGAATTGGTTTTTATATAGCGATAATATGGACCGCTTCCACAAGATGAGATACCCCAAAAGTGGCTTTTTTAGGTTCATATTAATGAAAAAAAGACTATAAATAAAAATATAATAATTGATTAGTTACATCCATCGAGAATGAAGTAGAGACGACATAAACACTATTTTGTCAATATGACAGACGGACGCACTTAGCGATGCCAAGACTGACGGAAAAGTGTAATCAAAATGGCAATTTATTTGAAGTCAATAATTTTATATTTAAAGCTTGATGCAATGGACATTTGACATTTAAAGTGACATTTTTTGTAATCGCAGCAGGTGTCAAAAATATCTAGGGGAAAGGGGCGGAAAGGCGACCAGGTGGGGAATACCGACCACGCCTTAGATAAAAGAAACAACAGATGATGCATGTCATTCATAAAGTATGTTTTGTTTGGTCCCAATCATCGGAAAAGAGAAAGAAGATATTTTATGCGGATCAAAAGAAGACAGACTGCAATCGAAAATCTCGTCTGGCAACGCTGCTGTTGTACGCAACTAAAAGTCTGTTTATACCAGTGGCGTAACTTATTAAAGATAAAATTATAACTAATTAAAAAAAATAATAAAATAAGTACTAACCGATATGGTGTGCAATAAACTTTATAATGGTTTAAACTTTAAAACCGATCGGATTTGGTATAAGGGTATAAAGTTCAGTGGAATGTAGATAAAAAGCTTAAAAACACTATTTTTTCCAAGAATAATACATTTATTACATATAAAGATGTTAAATAAAATAAAAACAAGATAAATAAATCAAGATTTATTTTAAACAAATTTACGAATTCAATTTTGGGGTGAAAATTTGAATAGATTTACAAATTGGTAAATGAGAGATTTTTAAATCACAATTTAGATTTTTAACACTACTAAATTTATAAAAGTTATTAAATCAATAAATTTTCCATACTTATATACAAGGTGGAGATTTTAAATCGAACGC